CAATGGAATGACAACTTACTGGAGGCACATTGAAAAACAGACAGAGTCATGTTTATATAAAAAAAAGAAGAATATTACTTCTTCAATGGGAAATTTTATTCTATTTCAGAAAGTACTTTTTGCCGATAAAGACGACAATAGGGATGAACCATCTTTATGTTTACCAGTAAATGAAGAATTTATAAGTATTGACAATGATGACAATATTTATGATTTACCAAAAGATTCAGATTTGGAATCTGATTACAATGACGAAGAGACATATTCGCTAGAACATATAACGGCTGGAGACCAAATTGTTGAAAGTGACTTAAAAGAAATACAGCCAGAAAACAGTGAAGATAATATAAGTGAAGATGAAGATAATGCCTGAGGATGGACCTTATTGCAGATGCTATGCCTCTTAACAGATTTGAATCTAGGTTGAGGTTTTTACATTTCATAAATAATGATAATGTAAATCAAAATAACACTGACAAATTGCGAAAAATCCGACCATTTTTGGACCAAATTCAGAAAATCTTCTTAGGTGCCACAGATCCAGAGAAATACCAATCAGTTGATGAGCAAATTATTCCACTAAAAGGAAAATTTAAATTTATAAAGCAATACTTCCCAAAAAAACCTAAAAAGTGAGGAGTCAAGGTTTGGGTAAGAGCTGGAATTAGTGGATATATGTATCGTTTTAAGATTTACCAAGGAGCAAGGTAGTTTTGCGTCCAACTGACGACTTAAAGAGAATTAATAATTTATTTTCCTCACTTCCCCTTATAGAGGATAAAATGCATAAAAGAGGTATATGGGCGAAAGGAGCTTTCCGGTTGAATCAACTACAAAATTTTAATTCTGTTATGAGAACAAATAAACAAATGAAACAAGAGGGTATGGGAACTTTATCCATTGCAAGTACTGAAGGTGGCAATATAATTTTTTCTAAATGGCTAGACAACAAGACTATTTACATTGTTTCTAATGAATTTCTTGCTGGATGCATTTTGTGCATATTTTTGTTGTAAATGCATGGATTTTGTACAAAAAAAAGGAAATAAAAAAATCTGCTTGAATTTAAAGTACGTATAGCCAGAGCATTAATAACTTTGGGAACGCAGAAAGAAAATAAACTAGGTAGACTTTCTTCTGGTACACAACCTCCCATTTTAAAGAAAGAGAAACCGAATCATCATGGACCTCCTGAAATTAGACAAAGTACCTAATTGGGAACACGGTCCACAACTAATTGATATACCAAACGCTCGAAGATCTCACTTTTAAACTTACAAAAGAAAAACAAAATATATGTGCAAAAGGTACAACGAGGCGCTGTATCCATCGTGCTTTGAACATATTAATACCAGTAACTGACGGTTCCGCGATTCCGAAAGTGCATAGTGAACATTATAGTGGACGGACTATTTTTTAGATTTTAAGAAAAAAATTTCATGTTTTTACACTTATACTATTTTCTAATGTTAATTTTTAATATTTCGCAATAAAATAATTTTGCTAAGAAAAAAAATTTTTCTTAAAATTTTTGCAGGAGAGGGTTAAGTCATAAGTGGAATTGGACTCATGGTAACGTAGGACGCCACTGGGGTTGCTAGTCCTGAGACGAAGTATCTGTGAGGTCTTGTTGATAGTAACTTAACTTAAGAGTTTCCAATTTGATCATATTTTAGGTACTACAAGCCCCAACATTCCGGTGTGATATGAAAGTTCTAAGTTAATTTTTAAAAAAGTTATTAATATTTATAAAGAACCGAAAGTCTGAGACTTATTGTGTTAAAACTTTCTGAGCAACAAATAAGCATAAAAACATTTAAAAACGCCATTTTGGAGGTTTTTGTATGACATAAGTTTTTTACTCTTAAATTTGTTTCAAATGCTTCACTTTTTGCTGATAAGCGAAAAAAGCGAAAATTTACCGTATTTTGGCCTTAATTTCTTAATAACTAATTAAGTCCAAAAATTCGACTGCAGATAACACATAAATTTTTGTTACAGAGGTCCATATTACTTAAAACAACTACCGTTTGTCTGTGGTTACGTGACACGTGTCAGTGTAACGAAAAAACCTTATTTCTTACATTAGTCTTACATATTGCATATTTTCTCTGTTTTCCTTCGTTGGTTCTTTCCAAAAAATGACCTATAGGATCATTTCTTATTGACTGTCGGACACGTTTTTGAGATAACTGTTGCAATGACGGTCAGCCAAGATTTTTTGGCCACCAAACACTTCATTTTTAGTATCAAATCTATGGCACCTCGGTCTTCCTTCTTCAAGTCGGTTTCTGACTTCCACGGACAATTGTTCATTCTGTTAGATCGCACTGTACCGATGGATGCTAAAAACTGCGAACAATAGCAGGCAAACGCAGTCCAGGACGAAGAAGAACCTCATGGTTTAAGAACTTGCGAGACTAGTATGGTGTAGATACAAGCATGCTATTTAGGGTGGCAGTGAATAAAATTAAAATAGCTATGATGGTAACCAACGTTCTGAAAGGACATGGTACATGAAGAAGAAGAAGATGGCTGCTATTTTTTTATCTGTTTAGATCTTCGTCAAGTTAAAACTTGACGTGGAATAGAAGACGTGGTTTGATGGTTTTTCAATAACAGATACATTATTCAGTATCACAGATGCTCCTTAACCTTGGACTTCATGCTCATCAATCTTTTTCCAGTGTACAATTCGGTATGAAAACATTACCCATTTTCGGCGCAACACATTGTCCACTGTTGAAGCCAAACCGAATTTTCTTTCCCCGAATAAATTGTTTAAAAAGTGATCCGTATCGGACCATCTGTTCATCAGTACTTATATTTTTTGAAAATATGCCAAATTTCAAATATTACTGATTCATTTTAGAAATCATCGGACTAATTTTAAAATTTGGTTTACGTGACTTTTCGTTTAGACAACTATTATTATTAAAATGTAAATTTCTTTTTATTTATAAATACCTGTTTCTTAATAAACATTTTCTTACACTGTCTATACATAAATCCTCATCATTTGTTCTTGAGGTAACGAATGATAGCCGATATGTGACAGACTGTTTTACTATATCACACATAATGTCGTCATCAAATAGCATCTGGAACACCTCTACAGGAGTTTTTCCCTTTAGAGACTGACTTATTTAAAAATCCACAAGGAATCTACGTGCCTGTAGTTGGCTGTATACCACATATTAAAAAATTTATTAAAAATCCTTTGTAAAAGGTATATATTAAATATATACCTTTTACAAAAGACTTATTATTAAAAATATATACCTACAGCCTGTAGTTGGCTGTATACCATATATTAAAAAATTTATTAAAAATCCTTTGTAAAAGGTATATATTAAATATATACCTTTTACAAAAGATTTTTAATAAATTTTTTAATATATGGTATACAGCCAACTACAGGAACGTAGATTCCTTGTGGATTTTTATTTGTCGGTATGGTCAACTTGGCTCCTCAGTACATGCGCTTAGCCACTAAAAGATGCACTCTGAAGCTGGATATTTGGTTCATCTCTCAATGCATAAACAACCAGGTCTTCCCTACTTTTTGTAAAATTAAAACAATGGGAAATGTTCCAATCAATTTAAAGAACAACTTTTAACTGAAAATCTTGAAGAAGGAGATTTGCAACCATTATGGAAAGCTAAATTACATAGATTGTAATAAATATATACCTTTTACAAAGTATTTTTAATAAATTTTTTACTGACTTATTTGTTCTTTAGCTTGTACAATATCCGTATTATTCCCAAAGTTTTTTAAAGCCTGACCTACATTTTTCGTTTTGAGTGTTATAAGGAGTCTCATCAGGTGTCTTATTTAGCGGTGATAATGATTCAGTATTTATAGCAGCTGAATTTATTTCCAATTTCCCGGGAACATCTTTAGGGCACGTGTCTTCTAGTATTTCGTCATCTATTTCTTCAGGCACATCATGGGCATCTTCTTCTTATGGTGCTTGTCCGTTCCGAACATTCTGGCTATGATGACCTTATTGGTTGCTATATGAAAGAGCTGTGTTGAGGTCTTTCTATAGCATGCTCTCAGGTTAGCAAGTTAGGATATTCTTCTTCGTCCTGGGGCCCTTTTTCCATCAATTTTATGCTGCAAAATGTATTGAAGTAGCTCGTATCTGCCTTGATTTCTTATTATATGTCCCAAGTACTGCACCTTATAGCCCTTCAATTCGGGTGGCAATTCAACAATATCAATTCCATCATCTTCATCATTATCCAAGACATAGGGGTCATTTATAATATCCTGTAATTCAGCCAATGTATAAAATCGTCTTGTACCTATTTCTGAAAACAATAAATAAAGTTTTGTAGCCCTATCCACAAGCCTTAAATGGATATCGCGCTAAAAATCCTAGTACAGTTCTGTATTTTAGTAACTAAAATTTATTTGCAAATGTGATAACTGGCTAATATAACCTACAAACTGAATTATGTACATGCCTAAAATTAATTTATAGCTAAAAACAATACGAAATCAAATAGATACAATATCTATTTTGTGCTTTGTTTATTCGAAAATTTATGAAGACTAACTAAAATACCGCCACTCACTATCTAAATAGAAGTATTGTAGTTAATACAAAGCCATTTACGTTAATATTTATCAAACTGCTGCCAACTGATACAAAAAACAAGTTGATTACCGAATGGGGATCGTGACAGGGAATGGGTTAAAGATTTGTAAAATCAGATTGTTGGCATACATGAAGAAGTTACAAAAATATTTTTTAAATGGCAGATTATTGACATACATAAAGAAGTTATTATAAGTGGGGTTCTGCGATAAAATAAGACTGTTATTTCCAGTCAAACATGGATTTGTCCTATTTTTAATATTATATTTATATTGTTTTCTACGACAAACACAAAAAATCGTTTCATATATTTTATTGTAATATCTAAATGTTAATTTTTCCCAGAAACATCAAGTACGTGTACTCATTTGGTATTGTTTTTTTTTTTAGTTTCTTCAAGTGAAGATCCCGTTTCCCTGAACCCATTCAAACAAAGCTACGTATGCCCACCGAAGTTTATCAGACAGGGCCACAGATGTTATTTCTTCAGTAAAGAGGCTATCACGTGGTCGGAAGCACTATTTCAGTGTCGTGAAATGCGCAGTAATCTCGCTATTATACAAAACAGAAATCAAGATAAACTCATAAGAAGCTTCCTCAGCAAAAAGACTCTAGGTAAGAGATATTTATCAATGTTTTGTAAAGTGCACATACACGGGAAATCTAAAAAGTTTTATTTACTTTTAATAATAAAAAAACTTGAATTACTTTTTGACTGAATAATTGAATTGAACTATGAATACCTATTTTTTTATTATTAAACAATGCGCGACGTTCAAATGAAAATTATATTTAGTTATTTAAAATTAGATTAGCCTTTAGATAATTTTTGAGTTTAATTGGGACTCTCTGGGCTACGATTAGCACAAACTGTACCACAGGAACTATTCGTATCTTTATATAGATATATACACAAAGTAGGGCTAGTGTACCAGTTGTCTGTATACAGGTTATGGCCTTTATTCAAATATGGTTTCATAAGATTTGCTACTACTGAACCTGATATTCGAAGATCTTGGAACAGAGTAATATCTGTTGATTTTCCAGTATAGCCAATAACACCTAATACATATCCTGTCTCGTAGTCACATATTAGAAAAAGTTTTATTCCAAAGCGATGGCGTTTGGTTTTTATGTACTGTTTAAACCTCAAACACTCCTTGAAAAGAACTAAGCTCTCTTCAATGGCAAGATTTTGAAAAGAAGTGAAGTAATTTTGGAACCGTGTTGTAATTTTATTGAACACTGGTCTCAGTTTGTGAAAAAAATCACCTTCTTTTTGCTCGGCATTATCTGAAAAGTGTAGCATGCTAAGGATTGCTTGGAAATGATTACTTGACACTATTTCGGAAAATATTGGTGTATGAAGCAACTTATCAGTTCACCAGTTTTCTCTTACTTTATTTTTTCTACTTCGTAAGACTAGGAACATAACACCCAAAAACACGTAAAATTTATTGATGTCAGTTTCGCTTCATTTATTATTTTTTTATTTGCATAAACCTCGAAAGCATATTTGTTAGTTTCAGAGACAATAATCTCACCTATCTCTGTGTCCATAAATAAAAAAAATAATTTAAAACATCTGACTTATCTTCTATGGAGTCCAAGTCTGCGCCGGTCTCTTTATCATCACAATCATGTACTACGGGAATAAACTGAGTTTTGTTCCGTTTCAGAACCAAGTTTTATGTTTGGGTGACTTATTATTTGTATTTCTGTTTTCACCATGAACGGGATTTTCTTCGTCAGATAACTCATTATTGCTATTTGCGACCTCATCAAATATAACTTTATTTATCTTGCCATCTTCATCCGATTCGGGATTATACTCACTGCGACTAGAGACATAATATGGTTCTTCATCGGAGCCTAACATTGCAAAAATATGATCATATTCCTGTTTTGATAGCCCACAAAAGTTTCCATACCATCATACCTTTTACAATTAGAACCACCAGCTTTATTCATATTACGCGCACGTTTGTGACTGTTGTGCCCGAAATGATTTTTAAAACTGAATTTTCAATACGTGCAATCGTTTGACGGTTCGACGGACCTGCAGCTTCACCTTCGACCTATGCATGTAACAGCGTTGCCACAAGTGCTACAATATAGTATATCTAATATATGTGAACAATGGGTCTAATGGATTTTTACAGTATTGGGAGACCAATGGGTCTAAAATTTTATAAGCAACGCATATTTTCGGCTTTGGTAAATTGAGACCATAATTCCTCGAACGTCTATAATATATGTCGCGGCAGCTGGGACTACAGACCCATTTAAAAAAAAAAACATATATGCGGCGTTGGAACAAAAAGGGTTAAGAAACCAAGTCATATTTAAAAATTATTAGATATGCATGTGGTTTTAATTTGCCCATTACTTTAACTTATACAAAGTTACTATGCATATGAATTCGTTACATGCTAAGAAAATTATGTCATTATCATTATCATCATCATGATCATCATCATCCAGCCTTCATTTATCACGTCCACTGCTGGACATAGGCCTCCCTTAAAGTCCTCCATTCTTTACGATTTTGTGCTCTTTGTTGCCAATTTTTGGTGATACACCTGATGTCGTCAGTCCAACGTGTAGGTGGTCTTTCTCTACTACGTTTGTCTGCTCTTGGCCTCCAGTTTGTAATTTTACTCGGTCATCGTTAGTCGTGCGTTGTTGCTACATGGCCTGCCCAGTTCCATTTCAGTTCCTCTATGCGTTCCAAAACATAAGCAATACTCGTCCTTCTTCGCACATCTTCGTTTCTTTTTAGGTCCACAACATCAGGTCCACAACGTCACTCCCAGCATAGACCGTTCCATTCGTCTCTGTGCCACTCACAATTTCGAAGCCGTAGTCTTGGTTAGAGTCATAGTTTCCGCCCCATAGGTAATGACCGGTAATACGGATTGGCCAAATACTTCTTATGTGTGTTCAAATTCATCACCTTTATTCCAACAAAGAGTTCCCAAAGGATCTTGGCATCTTCTCTCTTTAATTCCATTTTATTTTTGTGGCTTCTTAGTTATTTTGTAATTATAACCTAACATTTACTGTCTAAGCTTCTCCCATCAGGTCCTAATTATCTTAACATGTGCTCTCTCATTTTGGCATCATTTGTTGCCATCTCTAGACTTACATATTTATGATAAATCCATGTTGATTTTAGTCTTTTTGGCCACTTCACTTATCTATCTAGAATATTATTATTTTCGCATAAATTTGGATGGTGTTGTGAATCTTCCTCCCTTCAAAGATACTTCGGGATTCCAAATACGCATTTTGGGAACATATTATGTGTACGCTCTCTCTCCATAGGCGTTGGAATAATAGTATGAATTTCGTGTGTTGACCATACAGTTTCATCCTCTTTCACCCCTGCCAGATTTTAATATCCGAAATCCATGATCAATAGCTTCTAAAAGTATGTATATATAAACCATGATGAATAGACTAGAGGCTATTACTGGGTAAGTTTCCCGTTGTCTTGTTCATTGTATGTCACAGCCAAATGACTCGAGACGATAATACGAGTAGCGCGTTTGAGTATCTAGTATTAAGCCTACACGAATTTTAGTTTCCCAAAACCCTATTCCAGTAATGGCCATACTGCTGCCTTACGAAATTTCAGAAGTTATTCAGCAAAAGCAATTCCTGTTACTATATACTTATTTAATAGCGGAAATACTTATGTCAGGATACTGCTATTATGGATATACTGCTGGATATACACTATATTCTCCGGTATCGCGGCTGATTGATTGGGGACTTCTTATTTGGTGTATTCGCAGCTAACTTGCATATCTGAAAGTCGTCCACTATCCGTCATCTGCTACCACGACGGTTGATCTGTTGCTTTTGTAAAAAGGTACTAATATACTACTCCTCCATTCGGTTGGTATATGTTTCACCTCCGTATTAAATAAGCCTAGTTTCTTTGTCTCCCAAAGTTGTTTACACTTTACATGGATATCATCCAACTACATCTAACATATAACTACTATACCTTTCTGTATTTTTGAAGTGTTTTAAGCAAGTTCTTTGACTGTTATTTTGTTGAAGATTGCTATTACTATCTACAGAAACTTTTCTCTCAAATTTTTTTATGAAACAGTTTGTAAAACAATTATAAATTATTTATTTTTCTAGATCCTTTAGAACGATGGTTGGGAGGAGTCTACGACTGGGGTAAAATGGCTTGGAAGTGGGCGGCTCCCGGAAAACCACTAGCTTATAATGGATTTTCAAAAGAAGTTAACCCTCAAGATCCAGAAACTTTAAGATGGCATTGCATTATCATGGACCCTACTCAACAGTACTTGTAAGCACATTTCTTTTATCTTAAACTGATTATTGTGCATATTGTTTTCTGTGGTTAGGCACTGCAAAAATATTTATTAAATGTTTTTGTGATCTTAGGAATTCAATTAATAGTGTGTGTATATATTTAACATGCAATAAATTTGCTCGTCTTTATTCTTTTTAAAAAATGATAAAAAATACGAAAATAATAAGGAATTTTAAAACCCAAATCTCAATAATGTTCAAAGAACAAAGTTGAAGAACGTCATAGTAAAACTTTTAGTTTTGTGACAGGATTTAAGACAAAGATAATTTATGAGAGAATTATTTATAAGAGAAAATATTGGAAGTTTTCCAGTCGTAAATGGTGCTAGACTATAAATGACACAGGTATTTTGTTTCAATTTAGTACGTATAATTTATGGTAGTCGTTAATATTATACAATTTCATATTATTTACATCTTTTAATTTTAATGATGTACATCTTGGCAACTCTACAAAATAAATGTTCGTAATGCTTTATATTTGCAATATTTTATTATGTTATAGCAGTAAAATCGCATCCAATTTTTATAATTCGAGTTGTGGTGTTACTGTCGCATGCTCACTTACTTTACTTCATAGTACATACCCCCCTAGTAAGGTAACTCCCATATAAAGTTTTGGAAGAGAGTTTCTAGCGCCAAATACGGACGGGCCGAAACTAATTTCATTTGGCGGCAAATTCAAAATGTAAATTCAGAATTTTAGGCGGCAAATTCAAAAAATATGCTCTGAATTTTAGGCGCCAAAATTCAAAAGTATGTTTTTAATGGAAAGTAAATATAGTCACAAAATAAGAAATAAAAACTTATTCTATACCAGAAAATATATCCTCTCTGTCCAAAAATATAGTATACACCTACACATTTTTATATATATATATATATAAATGTATAACATAATATCTGATACAGAGAGAGTATATATTATGGTACAGGAAAGTTTTTATTTAATATTTTATGATTATATCTGTTTTCCATTACATTAACAAACCAAAGTCCCAAAAATAACAAAATAAAACACAAACATCCTGACACTTGTTTATTTGTATAATTTTCTTTGGTAAAGTATTGGCAACAAATATCCTCCTCCTCCTCGTTACTTAAGCCCTTGTTAAGATGTGGGTGGAGACACTCTAAATATTGTTAACTTGCTGTCTCCATTGGCTGCAATTCTGTACCAGATGAACAACTTCATGAAGTGATTTTTCCACCAATCTTCATTTAATCTTCCCATCATGTTGTAAGATTGTCATTTTGATATACAAATATAGATACCTCTATATTTATTAGCAATGGTTTGTAGTAAGTTCCATACCTTCTAAAATACTTTTCCTTGAAGTACCATATGTACATAATAAAGTGTAAACCCTCATGTCTGCGATCTTGCTCTTCAGAATTATCACAAATTGGCATACGACTCAATGTAACTGTTACTCAGAAGTAGAAGATCCATGAAAATCTAAAATAATGAAATATTATTAAAATTAAGAATGTATTGACTTTTTTTATAAAATAAGGCCAATTTTAGGAATGCAGTGATAAGAGTTAAGAGTTTTAATGAGTTTAAAATCTATACAGTATATAAATATAAGATTAATGTTAGTTAACATTGAAAGGTAAATTAACTAGAAAAACAAAATAGTATCAAGTTTATATTTACTAAAAGTTTGATATTGTTAGGTGCTGTTCTTACCTGGTGCTTGTAAAAATAAACTCCTAATCCTCAGAATGTTTAATAGCCATTTGTCCAACTTTAATTTTCACCCATCAACAAAAAATATTCTTTGGAAATACTATACCATTTTGGTAATGTACCTTCTTTAGCAGGTCTATTAGACATATAAAATTTGATATATACTGTTTTTATCGTCTATTTTCTAAAATTTGGGATACGATTATTGTAAACAGTGTGGTGTAGAATTGTTTAATCTTTTCATCATAATAAATATCAACCATTATGAAAACAAGTCCATTTCATTTTTTGGGTTTGGAAAACGAAATCGACTGTTTGTGTAGTCGGTGCAACCATGAACATAACATTTTTTTACCTTTTATTCTATTTTGTTCCATTTCAACGATGGTAAAACACAATTTTTAAAATTAAGATGATAACCAAAACCAAACACAAATCTGAATTTGCAATATGGCGTCCCGTGTCCCAACTCCCAATCTAAATTAAATTTCGCCACCGCACATGCGTCTCCCGCTATATTATACCTCCCACCTAACGTGACTAGTAGCGCCGCCGCCATTAAGAACGGATGGGCCCATGCAAAACACTATCCCCTCCCGTCCTATTCTACTTACACTACTATGGGGTATGTATTGTGCTTTACTTACTTTATCGTGTCCTTTTATTTATTATATAAAATTTTGGCCCAGTATCGGGCTACGTCGGTTCCGACTTTGTCGGCGAGCCACAAATCTTTGAGGGTACATCAATGAGGACAGTAATGTTTTGCATGTAAGAAGATGTTCCATATTCTGTGTTTCTCCATAGTCAGTTCACATCATCTTGGCCTATTTTTCCCCATTTTGTCATGTTTAATTTTACTGGAGCGACCCCCGTTCTTATTCTATTCATAGTTTTCCACGTTTTAAAGTATAGGGACTGGCCGGTTCATTGAACCTGAGAAAGAGGAAAATACTCAGCCGGTTCATCCTGTACTGTTTCAAGGAAGCTCCTGGGTTTTAGTCGCTTTCGCGGTGTTCGAGCTTTGTATAGGATATGCCGCTCGTCCGCGATCTGTTTTATTTTCTGTATGTGCTCTGCAATACCTCTGCGTGTTGAGGGTTCTGCAAAACCCGCTGCTTCATATAGATTTAAGAGTGGCGTTGGTTTCATGCACCCCGTTACTATCCTGCATATATCATTTAGCGCAGTATCAACTTGTTTGACGTGGGCAAATCTGTCCCAAACGGGGCACGACTATTCAGCAGTTGAGAAACACACTGTGCCTTTGTTCTTAAAACGCCAGGACGTGCACCCCATTTACTTTCCGTTAGCTTTCTGAGTATGCTGTTCCTAGTTGTTACGTTCCCTCTCGTTTTTATGCAATGTTGTCTGTAGGTGAAGGACCTGTCCAGAGTTATTCCAAGATGTATAGGTTGGTTTGTGTGTTCTAATGTATTACCATTTCACGCAATTTGGAGTTTTCGCTTGGCTTCCTTTGTGCGAAGGTGGAAAGCGCAGACTTGGGTTCTAGAGGGATTTGTCTCAGGGAATTCTGCAGGTAGTATGCTGTCATTGTTTTTAAGGCAGTTTTGAGTTTCTCCTCTACTTCTTTAAAACTATTACCTTGAGCACATATTGCAAGATCATCGGCATAGAGGATGTGCTTGGTTTGGTTGACTTAGGTTAGTCGTTTGTGTGTATATTAAAGAACATTGGCGCTAAAACACTTCGCTGTGGGAGGCTGTTTTTTTTTAACTATTCGCCTACTTACTTTACCCTCCAGCATAACGAAAAAACGTCTGCTTTGTAGTAAGGAATATACGACCTTACCCAGATAGTGGTTATTAAGAGTGACGTATAATTTGCGGAGCAATGTTTTGTGCCTTACTGTGTTATAGGCTGCTGTCAAGTTTACGAAAGCAGCCCCTGTTATAAGTTTTTCTTCAAAGCCCTCCTCAATGTGTTCTATTAGTGCGTGGACTTGACCGGTGCAAGATGTATTGGGTCTGAATCCTCCTAGTTATGGGATGAAGCGCTTGTCGACATTTTTTTCTATTCTAGCGAGTATGAGTTTCTCGTATAGTTTGAAAAAGTGACAAAAGAGCGAAATAGGTCTGTAGCTAGCTTGCAAGATCCAGTTTTTTGCTCTCCTTGGTCTCTGGTCGTATGCTCAGAATCCCGTGGACAGCACACATATCTAACGAATGTGGCTATAGACCATGCACAAAGAGCGAGAATTAATCACCATCATCAGAATAAGAAAGGTTTAATATTTCGGCCATATAACAAGAGGATCTAAATATCGGTTGAGCATTCAGGGCAAAATAGAAGGAAAACACTGGGTTGGAAGAAAGTAACTGTCCTAGCTGCGTAAAATTAGAAACTAGACAGGTTAAACGGTCGAGGAATTAATTGTTTCATCTAGCTGCCAATCGAGAAACATTTCATCAGCTGACGATAGCCAACGCATGAAAACAAGCACACAAAGAAGATATATATATATATATATATATATATATATATATATATATATATATATATATATAATATATATACATTATATGTATATATCGGAAAAGGAGTACGACCGTTAATCCAATATATTATAAGGATCACTCAGACGAGTGGTGGGTTCTTATATCGGTCTCAAGGTGGAGAAATAAAAGACAAAGTTGATAGGCTACTTTATCTATTTTGAAGACGTTTCGCTTTCGTATTCTGAAAGCATCATCAGTTCATCTAAAAAGTACAATATGAGAACCACACAATCATGGAAAAGATGTTATAAGTGTTACCTTAAAAAGACATGTAGCAGTCAAAGATATTAACAAGTTTGTGAATAAAACTCAAGTAAACGGACATTATACGGTAATATTGTATAAACAATCAATTAACTAACAACATTTAGCAACTTATTAAAAAATTAGCACAGCAACTGACCATGTGGTCTAAAGTATAAGTAATATTTTATTTTATCTTAAGTAGTGAAAAAGAACCAAGAAAATCATAGATTTACTTTCAACTATTTGATAATTATTAAGCTTTGATTTTAACTTTAGGTAGCATTATTAAAGTGATTTTAATAAAAAATTATTTTAAAAAGTAGTGTAAATGAAGTTACCGATCAAAGCCTTACAGCTGCTGCCGGAAAATGGCGTTAATTGAAACAGACCGAACTAAACCGTGAAAAGACAGCCAACCTTGAGGTCAAAAATTTGACAGAGCAACAAGGTAGAAGTACCACCCCAAATAATTGGGCGGTCTATTTAAAAGTTTAAATGAGTTTGGATGACAACCCGCTTGTAAGAGACAAACCAATGAAAGAAATTGGTATTATAATAGCAATTCCTCGCATTAACCAGTCTAGAACGAACAAACAGGAGAAATTCATTCAACCTCATATGTAATTAATAAATTTATTAATTACATATGAGGTTGAATGAATTTCTCCTGTTTCCAATTTTTGAGCTCATATTACCTTCAGCCCTACTATTTATGGTTATTAACAATTTATAATTGTTGGTAATTTAACAATAACTATTTTTGTCCATTATTTCATCCTAGGTAAGGGATTATGATTTAAATTTTATTCGGGATAATATGAAATCCCATTTTTTTTTGTTTGTCGTTTTTGTTGGGCATATTAGATATATGTTATGACTGATTGATATGATTAATTGATATTGAAGAGTTGCTTTTAATTGTTTTTATTGGGTTGTCCTATTGTCTGTATCTAAAAGGTGAGGTTAAATGTAACTTAAACTAATTAAATAAATGTTCATAGTTTATTTGAGAGCCCTCTACCTGTCCGGGTTACTATACAAATTCGCTTTATCTGAATACGAGACGGTTTTGTACTATATCTTGCAATGTATTATTATATATATTATAACTGACCTACATTTTTTTTTATTTAAGCTGGAGTTCACGTAGTTGTGTGGAACGAAAACACTACATCTGCCAAACTAGGCTTAAAACCGTTAATAATAGGGATAAGAAGAGACTCCAACGCCAATACAAGGCCAGCAAAGACAATCGACTGAATGAAATCCCCGTGCCATATATTCCCGATTTCCCAAACAATACTACTGCCCTGAAATACAACGCCTTGCCGATCACCTATCACTTCGAAGTTAACGACAAACTCAGCGATAACGCTATGTTCGCCTACAAGAGCCCTGAATACAAGAAGCAAGTCAGAAGAAACGGACAAAGAAAAAAGAAATCCAATAGGTAATATTTTTATTAATATATTAGTATAGTGCGACCTCTAGAAATTCCCAACAGTATTTAAGATTCATAGAGATAGTTTGACGTTATGTAAGATTTAGAAAAATAATTATTGCTGTTTTTTTTATCTATTAACTCAGTGATTCTCAACCTGTGGGGCGCGCCCCCCTAGGTGGCGCGGTATTATTAATGGGGGGCGGGAGACTATTCGAAAAGAACATTAACAACATTGATTAATTTACTAAAATCAAAGCAAAACCAAATTCCTATAAAATAAAAAATAAAACAAACATGAACACTGATATAACAGGTATAATTATAAAGAGCACTGAACACTAAATTATGAACAAGTTTAATAATAAATCAGTGACTTCCTTGAGCTTGTTTTGTAGAGCAAAGTTTATCGAAACGGGGTGTAATATTAGAAATAGACGTTTTTAGTTCTTTTTCTATATTTAGCTGCGATTTATATTTGGTCTTCAAAGCAGCCACCGCAGAAAATCCTGTTTCGCAAAGGTAGTATGTTGAAAACGGCAATACTATACGGAACGCTCTGGTTTTCAGTGCAGAAAACTCATCATTTACTCCTGCCCAAAATTCAAAGAGGGATTTATTATTAAACTGTTTCTTGATTTCGTGAAGTCCATGAAGGTTTCTTCTTCGGCAGTAGAGAGCCCTTCCGGTGTAATTTGGAACGGATTCCTAACCCACTCGTAACTACGTATTAATTTGTCGTCGGCAAAAAAATATCTTTTAAAAATTTTTAGTCACCATCGCTAAATAATTTTCAATTTTTACAAAAACAACTTTCACGTATTGTTCTTCAACCTTGTAAGTTTTAATACATTCACCCACATTTGCAAACATTTCTAGGTTTTTTGCTTTAAATTTCTGCTCCACAATTCCAATTTTTTACAAAAACCATTAACTGTATCACTCGTATTCAATATATGTGTATTGGCTCCTTGAAGCTAAATGTTGAAAATATTTAGTTTCTCTAATATGTCAACCAACTATCTCGAAACATCTCGGCTTCCCGTCTATTTTCTTCTTCTCGAAAAATAGCGATTTCATGTCTTAATTCAAAAACACGTTTTAAAAATTTCCCACGTGATAACCATCTTGCCTCACAATAAAATAATAATGCTAAATGTGAAATGTGATGCATCCATGTCTTTACAAAGTGCAGGAAAGATTCTGGTTTTCAAAGGTCTGACGCAATTCCGACGCAATTCTTCCACTCTATTTTTGCTACATTTATATAATCTTTTAAGAAAGCAAATAATGCGAGCGACGTTTCTTCCAGTTATGTTGGTTTGCAAGAAAGTAGTTCTTCTTCTAATGATATGCCATCACAAAATCGAACGTAGGCAATAAAATGAGCATCTTTATTGCTATCTGTTGCCTCATCAACCTGAATCGAAAACAGCTTGTCGCGCAACTTCCCATGTAGCTGATCCTGTACATCTTCAACTATGTCACAAATCCGACGTGCAACAGTATCATTTGATAGAGGTATAGACTCTAATTTTTTGGCAAAATTATCTCCAAACATAGTTTTCTACAATTTGAATTGGAGCTGGCAAAATAAACTCTTCACCAATATTGTGAGGCTTTTTAAATCTAGCTCTTTAATGGGAGGTTTTATAAGAGGCAAGTAAAGCTTTTTCATTCACAGTCAAAGTTTTTTTAAAAATTATTTTTGGTTTTCATGTGATTTTAATTTTAACTCAAAGAATTCTCGGGCCTAATTAATGCACTCACTATGAAGTGTTTCCAAATGTCTTTTAAGTTTATTTGGTTTCATGCTGTCGGCTGCTAAAATTTTTGAGCAAATGATACATAGAGGCCGTTCTTCTTAATTTACTTCAGTAAACGTAAACCAAAAATTTTGGTAATCTTGAAAATATTTTTTTGATTTTATTTTTGGAACCACTCTCGCCTGTACACTTGTTAATGCTTCACTAGTATCGAATGCTCGCTTACGCCCAGTTAAAAATTTATCCATGATTTTGTATAAATTTAAGTATATTTAACTACTGCTTGGCTTGGAATATTTTAATACCGTGAACTGCAATTAATACACGCAAACTATAACATAATTGGTTGGTGTTGCCACATATCAATAAATTTACTTATTCTCGGTAATTCGGTAATTAAGGTTTTACTGTAACTTTAGTGCAAGGGCGGATCCAGAGAGACTGACTAAAAAAATTTGACAAATAAATACTTTATAACGATAAGGTTTGATTGTCTTTATGGCACTCGAAAAGTGCCTTAACAAAACCTCCCCCTCCCTGAAAATCGGTCCTGGATTCATATATTTTTATTGTATGAAGGGGCGCGGTGAAAATAATTATTTAAAATTGGGTCGCAGCTGGTAAAAGGTTGAGAAACGCTGTATTAACCAAAAGTGATTCTGATGCTACTAGTCTTTTTATTGTATCTATCTATATTTATTTTCAATGTCCCATTTTACTTTAGATCAGTTTCAAAAAATTTTAATTTTTTGTTTACTTATCGTTTTTTCCTTATATGACGCATCAACCGCTCAGGGTTATTTGCGTGTATGGATTGTGATACAGAGTTAGAACTTAACAATAGAATATTAACCATAGCAATACATAAATAGAAATAAACCTAAATCTATACAAATTAAAATATTACATTTTTGATTACAGCTTGTAGTCTTTGAGAAAGGCGAAAATATTTTTAGTATTACTGTCTTTTCCAAGAGCACTGTTTTAATGCTGATGGTATATTATACATTTTGCGTTGCACATCATACTTAAGGGCACTGCAATAAACAATATTTTACCGTTAAGACACTTTTACACATGCCACATACAGGTTTATCAGCACGTTTTAGTAGGTAGTTTTGTATTCCAATGGCGAGTATGACCAATCCGGAGGCGAGTGAAGGTTACTTGTTCTCTTCTATTGTTAAATTTTGGGAATTTTTGATGATTAATATTAACTTCGTACAGCTTGGTTGGGGAGTTCTTCCATGTATCCTGCCGTATTGAATTAATCTTTTCTTGAAATAATGCTTTCAGGTCGGTGTGAAGAGATTTCGTATTCTTATCTGTGTTTGGATTAGTAGGTGCATTTTTTGCTATTTGGTCTACAACCTCATTTCCTTCGATTCCAGTATGTGACGGTACCCATATAAAATTAACTTTAATGTTCATATTTTCTGCATGTTTTAGTTCCTTTTTAATGAGAAGGAGTAGTGGATGATTACAATCTGTATTAATGATATTTCTCTTTTTATTTTTGTTAACTATCAGAACTAGTGCTTTTAGTATCGCATATGGCATACAGTTCAGCAGAAAACGATGTTGTATATGAAGGTAATTTGTAAGCTTCTATATAATCTCATGAGTAGATTGATGCCCCAGTTTCTTCTTTGTTTTTGGAGGCATCGGTGTAAATTTTGAAACAGCTACCATATTTGCTTAATATTTTAAGAAGTTCTTGATTAATTTGACTTGCTAGCGTTTCTGATTTGTTTAGGCGCAATAAGCTGGTGTCAGTAGAGGGAAGTCGAATTGTCCAAGGAGGAGGGGTTTGAATTGAGGAGATATCGTAGGTGTCTGGAAATTGGATATCTATTGTTAGGTATCCTATTGTTGTAACAGGTAAACTGTTCCAGTCTCTACTGTTCCAATCTTTGCTCTAATTTCATTTCAGTATCTCCTATTAATATCTCATAAGCATGCAATAATCACCAGGGAATTTCCCTTTTCCAGAAGTTTTCCTGTTATTTGATACAACACTAATGTCTCCTGTTATCTTTAAATATTCACTGGGGACTTCTTTTTTATTCAACGCCCATCAGAGAACCTCTCAAGGAACTATATTATCTGATTTCTCAAGACAAACAAATGCCATACTTTATTCCTGTAGGTACTTTTTCATCTGATGATTTATAATGAAAACTACTTTTACTTTCTACATTAGTAGAACTAATTTTTGCAAATTCTTCGTTTAATAAACTGCTGAAGTATTTTTTCGTTGCTTCTTGACATACTTTTCGTAAACAACAATTTTATTTACTTTCATCTCGGATTTATATCTAATCTAGTTCCAAAGTCTACTCCTCCATGTATAAGTTTCAAATCCTCTTTTGTATCTTTTGTATTATAGTTACTACATAATAATAACATTTTAATAATATCTACTTATACAATAAACATTTTGTTTTAGCTTGAGGCCAGTGAGACCAGTGAGACTGTCCAATGGTACTGTTATAGAGAGACCCAGAAAACGAGTGACTCACCGAAGAAGGAAACAAAGAAAACCTGAAGATTTAGGAAAACCAACTTTAATTAAAAACATCAGGTGGAAAACATACAAAAAAACAGGAAATCTACCCAACCCTCTTTATCCAAGACCTATAGTCGAAGAATATAACTATGTTAAGGGTGGATGAACATATTAGCTTCATATTTTCAATTCTGTATTAAACTAATTATTGTTGAACCTGTTACATTTAACAGATAAGACAACTGAAGCCACTTTGAAATTTCAGAAGATGCTATTCGGATAACAAAAGTATTGTTCGTATTTATTTGAAATTAATGTTACTCACTCTCTAGCTATAGTTGATAATATTTTGATGTTAACTGGAGATTTAGTTATTCAATGTCAAAGTTTTCTCCAGGCGTGAACAATAATTAATTTATATATTGTTACGTCTAATTCGGCAATTTCAACAATTTCTGCATTACTGGTTGCCTATAAAAATTATAATTTAGATCTACGGTTTTTAGAATTTGAACACAATTTTGGACAGATGATAAATCTATATAAAAACTACTATCAACAATCCTACTATTTTAATGTGTTTTGCCGTTTTGAAGTATGCGAAATACTTTTGTCAGTTGTGCCGTTGGCAAAAACTATCATACTTTTGTTGGTTGTATTAAATTTACGGTAGCTCTTAGCGATTTTCTAGTTTCTTCCATCAAATTTTTCTGCCGTAGCCGACTTCTTATTTAAGTTTTATTTTCATCATGGCGTTTTTCTTGAGGTACTTCACATTGCAGTTTCACGCTTTTCTGTTTATAATCAGTAGCTCAGTAGGTATCTTTGTACCAAAATGACAGGTTGTCCAATATTCTTTACGTTATTTATATAATTCATTATCGCTTTCACTAGAACTTGGATGATACTTAGATTTGATAGAACTATGTCCGTAGAAGAATAAAAAGAAAATTACTCTTATTTCTCTAATTTAATACTCTCAACTATAGCTTTTGAATAAAAGTCATAATTTTTAAAAACTGCTATTATTTTGACTATACGATGATTACGCTTCTGTATATAACCCTTTTTGTTTCACAATACTTTATTATCTCTGTAATTAGATGTAAATATTATTTATTTTCTTTAGTGCTATTGTATTACTCTTTTGTTAAAAATCTGATCAAATATTTTTAATTTAAATGTTATGTCCTAACCAAATATCACCAATAATTGCAGTTAAAGCTTTTTATTATTTTTATTTGTTCCTAAATATGTTTTTGTATTTGTAAGAGATATTAAATAAAAGCAAAGATGAATACGTGTTTTATATTATTAAGTATATTTAATTATAGTTAGAGCTACAAATGTGTTTGTATTACACGTATCTATTTCTTACCTAGTCTTTATGTTGGACTTTTTTTACATTATTAGCTGGGAAAATTTTCTTGTCCTCTTTGATTCGTATTTGCTAATCTATATGAAATTTGGTCAAATACATTCTTTTCGTGGACCCAATAATGTCTGTCCTTCGTTTTGCTACTGATCTTGTTGCATTGTATGTTTGTTGTTTGTTTCTTTTTGCAAAATTAGTAGTCATTTAACCTTTCGATTATTTCCTACTTCGGATATCTTCTTGTTCTTTAAGTTCCGTCCCCTTTAAGAAGGTTGGTTATCATAGCTATCTTCACTTTAGATACTGCTGCTCTAAACAGCTCACCAGAATTAGAATTGTACCATTGTCTCAAATTGTTTAGCCAGAATATACGTCGTCGGCTCATGCTTCCTCTGCCCAGTATATTCTCTGTATGATCTGCAGCAACGAATATCCCTCACCTCTCACGACATGACCCAGATACTGCAATTTTCTTATTTTAATTGTATTTAATATCTCCTTTTTCTTATTCATTTTTTATACGTCGTTATTCTTCTATAAGCCCACATCTCAAACGCTTCTATTCTGTTACTTATATCTTTTTTGGCGTTAAAGTCTCCATTCCATATGATAATACAAAAAATACATACAACACTCAGTAATCGTACGGTGAGTTAGAGACTCAGATCATTGCTGCAAAATACTACTCTCATATTATTGAATTTTGATCATCATCATCATCAATGGCGCTACAACTCTTCGTGAGTCTTTGCCGCGTTTACTATTGCCTTCCATGTTTGTCGGTCCTGTGCCAGTAATTCCCATTGTCGCACTCCCATCTTCTCTAGATCTTCTCTGACTGCATCTTTCCACCTTTTTCTAGTTCGCCCTATAGACCTTCTTCCATCTGGCCTTTCCCAGAACACATTGTTTATAAGGCGATTGTCGTTACTGCGTATCACATATAATTTTCTTTCACTAGGACAATATGTTTGGCATTGCACCAAGGTATATAATAATCTGTATATAAAGATGATATGGACAAATCGTGATTGATGTAAGTGCAGTTGGGGTTATCTTGCCTGCTGTAATGGCTGGAATATTTGGGTATTGCTTGAATATGTCGATGGATGGACACCATTCTCTCTTCAGATATTTTGTGTTTTTTTCTTCGTATGTTTTCCTCGCTTATCAGTTTTTGGAGTAGACTTATTTCCTTCCTTTATTTAGCAACAGATATTATATATCCGCTTTTTTGACTGCTGGAGACCATGAACCGCCAAAAATTCCCAGATTCCAAAATGCATGAAAAATTTCTTCTTCTTCCCCGTCAAGCTTGTTCTACATTTGTGTTTTCATTTACATGGTTCTCCAATAGCTTTAGGTTCCATTTCAGTCCCTTGGTATGTTTTGTACCCATGGCCCAGATTTGTTCTTGTTTTCTCCCGGTCCCTTTTCTTAGAATGAACTTTTCTCCAGCGTGAGTGCGTTGAATTTTCTGGAAAACTTGATAACCTCTAGAAATATCTTGTTTCTGATCAGAGGGATCGTTGGACTTATTTTCGTCCTGAAAAAAAAAAGATGTATAATTCTTTGCAATAAGATATTAAGCTACACACATTTTTCGTAGAAATTCTGCTAGGCATATGAACAAAAATACTGCAGCCGGATATATAACGCAGTACACATCGTAGTTACACAACATTACTGGGTCATGTAGACGTATTGTACGTAAAGGCAACAATACATATTTCGATACATAGGTAAAATATGAAATTTTATATTAAGCTTAAAAATAACAGAATCTTTTGCTAAAAAAGGGAATAAGCCGCATAGAAATAAACTTACCAATATATGTGTAACTCCTTCTGTTGAACAGTCACTTTCAGTAAGACTGTAAATCTTTATCATGACCGTAACAGATCGTGATCTGAATCAAAATCAGAGAACTCACTTCCACTACTACTCTCAAAATCAACTTTTCTTTTAGCTCGGCGTAATTTATAGTCATCCATCTTGAAAATCGCCTGTGGCATGTTCCTTTTCTAACAAAAAAGTTCTGAATTTTGGCAATGGACCGCAGGAGTGTGACGTCACGACTATTATTACTTTCCAAACAAACGTTGAAATGTCAAATCTCCAGACTTTTTAATTCCTATAAAGTTAATATTTTGCTTCCTCTGCTGCTTTTTCTTGTAAGTATAGTGTTTTTTACGATAATACCATCATAATTCAGAGTTCTATTTCTATGAAATATGGTTTAAAAGTTTAATTAAAGAAATTTTAACCTTACTTTATTGATACTTGCATTTTATTCCTATTAGCACAAAACAATGTGTTTTATTATTTACACAACCTTGTAAAATTGTTGTAGTAACTATTAGAATACTTAAATATTGCAAAAAGCGGAAATATTCTATAAAATAAATGAAAAAATAACGAAAAATACAAATTATCCACACTAAACAAGGTTTGTTTGGAAAGTGAAACTGACAGATGTCAAACAAATCTACGTCATCACTCCTGTGGTCCATTGTTAAGAAAGAAATTCGCGTATAGAGGCGCCATCTCTTTATCAATAGCTGAAATAATTGATCAGCAGCTTCGTTGCATACTTGCAGGTATCTTTTAGAGGAAATCTAATTTTTTAGATTTATGTGGCTTGTTACCTTTTTCCCCCAAGCCCCTTCAATTTTAATACAGGTGATAAGGAACTAAAAGTAAATAATTTTTTTTTTCATGCTCTTCTTATGTTTTCAGTTCTCTCTCTCTCTCTCTCCAATAGACTTTTCCCTGATATTCGTCGGAGTATTTTCATCTCTGTTGTGTCTAGTACCTAGTCGTCTCTTTTTAAATGTGTCAAGTCTTGTCTCCGCCGTGTATGTTAATATAGGTCTAATTGTTGCTTTATAGATTTTTGTTTTTGAGTCTTGTCTTAGGTTTTTGTTCTTCCAGATTATGTCATTAAGAGATCCCGCCGTTTTTCTTGCTTTTAAGCTTTGTTGTCATACTTCTTCTTCAACATCTCCGTAACTAGTTATATCTATTCCCAGATATCTAAACCTTGCTGCCTGCTTTTTTATTTTCCCATCAATTTCGATTATACATCGTAGTGGGTATTTAGATGTTGTCGTACATTTGTTTTTCTCTGCTGATATTATCATATTGTATTTCTTGGCTGTTGTATTAAAGATTTGTGTTAATCTTTGGAGCTCGTCTTCTGTCTCGGCGATTAATGCGACGTCGTCTGCATAACAAAATATTTGTATCAAGTTGTTTCCCATTCTGTAAGATTGACCATTACGTACTGCTTGTATTATTTCGTCCATTATTATATTAAAGAAAAATAGGCTTAACGAGTCACCCTGTCTGACTCCGCTTTGTACTGATATACACTGTGTTAGTTTTTCATTTAACTTTGCCTGTATTCGATCATGGAAGTAGATGTTTTCGGTTTGTATAATATTGATTGCTATGTTTCTTTTATACACTAGGTGTAAGACGTCTTCTACTTGGATGCGGTCAAAGACAGATTTATAAAACATAGATATGCTGGTTTGTTATACTCGATGGCCTTTTCTGTGATTTGTCTTAGTACACATACGGCATCTACGTAGGGTCTTATGGATCTAAATCCTTATTGTTAATCTAATAAAGTTGTTAGTTTATTGATTTTGTTGGTTAGGACTTCTATGTTAAGCTTAAGTGCGGTGCTCAGTAGATTTTTACCTCTATAATTGTTGGGGTCTTCTTTATTTTCTTTTTTAAACATTGGTATCATTATGCTGTTTTTCTATGCATCTGGTATCTTGCAGTGCAATATTAATTTTTGTATAAGTTTTATTATCTCAAGATTTATACTTTATTCTTCGTATTTTAGAAGCTGGTTGGTTATTCCGTCCGGTCCTGGTGACTTCCTATTTTTGAATGAATCTATGGCTATCTGAACTTCCTGAAAACTGATTTCTATTCCGTGTCTTAATTCAGGTACGTTATTGTGTTGATTATTATTTTTCTTTCCTTTAAACAGTTCCGTCAGGTATCTTTCCCATTCGTTTGCTGGTATGTTATTGTATTCCTTTAATTCTGCCATTTGTTTTCGTTGGTTTTTTATGAATCTCCATATTTGTTTTTGTGTACCGTAGAAGTCGCTTTTCATCCTTTTTGTAAACTGTTCCCAGTGTTTATTTTTTGTTCTTCTTAATAACTGCTTGTTTTATTTCGTATTTTTCTATAGGTGTCACGGGACTCTGGAGTATTTGATGTTTTGTACTTCGTTTAGGCCTCTCGTTTCTCTTTACATTCCCCTTTATTTCTGTTCTGAACCATAGTGTGTTGTTCTTGTTTCTTTTTTTGAGTATGACTGCGTTTTTCTAGAGCTTCTGTTGCTGCTTCTTCAATGTTGTTTTTAATTTTCTCCCAGCTCGCGTTTATATCTTCGATGTTGTCTATTTGTTTCAGCTGTATCTTCTGTGCTAGCCTCGTTTGGTACATTTCTCTTATAGAGTCGTTTCACAGTGATTCTACATTGAATTTTTCCTCGGTGATTTCCTGTAGAAAATATTTTGGTGTTATGTTTATTCTTATTTTTGCTAGTACTAGTTTGTGTTCACTCCCTGCCTCTGCTGAGTTTAACGTTCGAATATCTAGAATCTGCTTTGGGTGAATTTTTCTATTAGTGACTATAAAATGAAGCATATATTTATGCCCCTGGAATTTTAAAATGTATATTTATACTGGAGCTTATGGTCAAAAAAAGTATTATTGATTCTCAGTTCGTCAAAAGCACAGAGATTAGCCATGAATTCTTCATTTGGGTTGACATGGTTTTCATTAAATCTTTGTTTTACTCCTGGAAATATTTATTGTCCGATTCGTGCATGAAAGTCACACATAAGAATTAAGTGCTCTTCATGAGGTATTTCATCCAGGATGGTTTGCAAGTATTCGTAGAATGCCCCTCGTTCCTCCTTAAGTTTACAGTTATCATCATCATCATTCAGCCCATACTCGTCCACTGCTGAACATAGGCCTCCCGTAGTTCACCCCACAAATTTCTGTCCTGAGCCGCCTGCATCCAATTTTGATGTGTTCGTTTCAGGTCATCCATCCATCTTGTTGGTGGTCGTCCTCTATTCCTAAAGGCATCTGGGTCTCCACTCAAGAATGCGTTTTGTCCATCTGCCGTCCTTCGTTCTCGCGACGTGCCCTGCCCAGTTCCATTTTAAGGTTGATATTCTTTCGATTGCGTCGGTTACTCCCGATCTACGGCGCAATTCTGTGTTGGGTATTCGGTCTCTCAGGGTTAATCCCAACATGGACCGTTCCATTGCCCTCTGTGTTATTCGAATTTTGTTTGCGGACGTCTTAGTAAGTGTTAGTATCTCCGCACCATAGGTTAGAACCGGCAGCACACATTGATCGAAGACTTTTCTCTTCAAGCAGATGGGAAGAGCTGATTGGAAAACATCTCTTAGCTTTCCATAAGCTGCCCATGTCAACTCTATTCTACGTATTAGTTCATTGGTCTGGTTATCTCTACTTAAGCGAATTTCGTGTCCCAGATATTTGTATGCTGATGTTTGTTCTATACTTGTTCCAGCTATGTTGATGTTCTCACTCATAACAAGGTTTGTCATAACTTGTGTTTTTGAGTTATTGACCTTTAAGCCCACTTGTGTAGAGGCATCGTAGAGTCTTTCGCACATTTCGATGGCATGATCTATGCGGTCTGTTATCAGGACTATATCGTCCGCGAACCTGAGGTGACTAAGCTGCTCTCCATTTATGTTTATGCCCTTTTTCGTCTAGGTTTGCACGCTTACACATGTATTCCAATAATGTTGTAAACAGTTTTGGTGAAATAGTGTCGCCCTGGCGAACTCCACGATGAATGTTGAACTTGTGTGTATCTTCATGGAGTCTGACGCATGCCGTGGCATTATCATAGATATTTTTGATGACAGTGGTGTAGCGGTGATCTATTCGGCACTCTTTTAAAGCTTCTAGCATTTTCTGGTGGTTTACTGTGTCGAATGCTTTCTCATAATTCACAAATATTAGGACGAGGGGTTTATTGTACTTTATACATTTTTCGATGAGGATTTTAATAACTTGTAGATGGTCGTTTGTGCCGAAGCCTGACCTGAATCCTGCCTGTTCGCATAATTGGTAAAAGTCCATTTTGTTTGAAAGTCTGTTTGTTATGACTTTTGTAAAAAGCTTGTATATGTGTGAGATGAGGCTGATTGGTCTATAGTTTACGAGATTTGTTAAATCTCCCTTCTTAAACATTAGAATGATCACTGCATTTTGCCATCGTGATGGTGTTGTTCCTCTTTCAAGGCATTCTGTGAAAAGTATGGAAAGCATTTGTATCAGTTTCTCGCCTCCTAATTTTATGGCTTCGGCAACGACCCCGTCGTCGCCAGGTGACTTATAATTTTTCATTTGTAGGAGAGCTTTTTGATTTCATCAACAGTAACATCTGGTATGTCTTCCGAGCCCTGGTTTAGTTACAGTTGTCATACAGTCGGAGAAATCACAATGGAAGTACTTTCTAATAAAATAATTTAACTCTAAAAATATCTAAATACAACGCTGCTGGAATTGTGGAATTTCACAACAGTTTACTGTCATATGAGTTTTGCAAATGATTGTTGGAGTTGGACTATACATCAAAATAAAAATACGGTATATTTAACGTTATATTTTATTTTTACAATAAATAGTTAAACATTATATGTACACTAAAATACGACTTCACAACAAATATAAAAATAAGTATGGTTACATATCTACATTTGAGGCAGTTGCAGTTACTCGTTTCCTATCTAAATTATTCAAATTAGGTCACTTTTATCACAGATGCTGTTACATTTGTTAATTGTTGGTAAATATTTCATAAATTTGATTGACAACGAATGTTACGCAATTTAATTGTTTCACTGATAAAAAAAATATTTTGTTTATTTATGTATTACTGTTGGATTTATTTCAAAGATAAGTCTTTGGTTAATTTAGGTGTTAAGTTAACTTATATTTTTAGTACAGTACCTCTAATATTATCCTAACCACCATATTGAATAAAATCCTGATTCTTACCCATGATTTCAATCCAGGTTGAACTTGAAATATCTACCTTATTTAGTATTTCTTATTAACTTTAAATAAATAAACCCTTACGCCATTCATTTTCTTTTAAATTATCACGGTTTCCATCTTCTATTTTTTACTGTTTTAAAAACTATCTCCTGCCATTCTTCTTTAACTATCTTCTGATGAAGTTATTCTTTACTATTTCTTTATTCGCTATGTGCAAGTTCCGAAGAGTGACATCTAGTGGCATAAATCAGCGAATGTGTTAGCACTAATAATATTTTAGTCTTATATTAGCGTTTGCGAAATCTCGTTTTCTTCAATAACTACTTATGAAATATGCTAACAAAGTTGCAAGATTTCCCCACTGCAAGCGTACGATCGTTTCTCATATCCCCTCCAAGTACTTGCACACAGCGAATTGGCAGTTCCGTGTATTAACCCTGCTTATTCTTTTTAAAGAAGAGTATGAACTCTATTCATTTCAATTTTGTATTTTTTTATCCCCATTTTATTCTATTAAATACATTATTTTTAAAGTGTTTTATGTTTAGCAAGTTATCGTTTATGCTAAGCTGCAACCAAAAAAGTTGTAGGTAGAGCTAACAGTCAAACTCAGGATAACTATAAGTACATCTTGATTATTATTTAAACTGCATAAGAACATAGATATGGGCATTTCAGAGTACTTTTTAATAATTCAACATTTAGAGAATCTGGGTTATTATTTTATAGAGTATATAGTTAAAAAGATTTAAAACAAAGTAACAGCATGTGTTGAATTCTAACCTAACCTAATCAGAAGCTTTATTACACATCAACGCTTAATAATATCGTTTGTTCGCTAATATAAGAACAATACTGTATCGATATTTTCATTGCAATATTGCGTATGCTTAGAATTGCGTCAAAACGGCACTATTTTCGTTCTATATGGCATTTGGATGATTTTTGACAATGTTTATTGTTGCATCTGCTGGTCTTTTCCTTCTCGGTACAAACTTCTTGACTGCTTTGGCTTGAACTTGACAGATAAATCGTTTCTTTTCAGTTTGTTTGGCAGCGTTCCACCTACAAGTTTATAAAATAAAAAAAATGCTTAAAAAATTATTGGATTAGATAAGGTAACACAAAACTGTTACAGCAATTTATTATTTGACAAAACAAAAAGAGAAAGAGAAAGGAACTATAAAAATATAGAAGAAAGGAATTAAAAAACATAATTGAAGCAAGAAAACAAAGAGCTAAACGCAGTCAATTTGAATGAAGCTTAGCACATAATAAGAATAAAATTAAAGCAAGAAAGGTACTGTAAGAAAAAGTAATACATTAAAATCTGAAAAAAAAATCACAAGTTTACGACACAACAAATTATACAAAACTAGGAAAAATGCACTATATATATATATTGTTGAAATACAAAATATAAACAAACAAGTAAAAAATAGAGTCGTGTTCAATTAAAAAAAATCTTAACAATCAATAAAAATGTTCATAATGAAAAGTGTTATATACAGTATGAATGTTTTGTAGTCTTTTCGAATTCTCGCATAACATTTCTCAAAAATTTGTACAGTATCTAATAAGCACTTAATTTATTGCGTTTTAAAATTTCAAACGAGAAAACATACTTTAAAGTGTTTCTTGGAATATAATATACATCCAATGATTGTACAATTTATTCGATCCAAATTGTCTTTGGTGCTCGTTTCTCTGTATATCTCATAAGTTTGTATTTACCTTTTTAAGAAGTTATTGTGATTTAATATTTCAAACGCAAAAACATACTTAAGTATTTGTTTACAATAAGAATCGCTACAAGGCAGGAAAAATACCAGTAGAGTGGCTCAAATCGGAGTTCGTACCATTGCCCAAAAAACCAGGAGCAAAAGTTTGTGAAGATTATAGGACAATAAGCCTAATGAGCCATCTTTTGAAGCTGTTTTTAAAGGTCATCCACAAAAGAATTTACCGGAAATGCGAGGAACAAATTGCACCCAATGAGTTTGGATTTGTGAACGCCGTTGGTACGAGGGAAGCTTTATTTAGCGTGCAGATCTTGTTTCAGAAATATAAAGATGTCAGTTGTAATGTTTTTGCATGCCTGATTGACTACAAGAAGGCTTTCGATAGAGTCAGGCATGAATAGTGATGAATGTGCTGAAGAGGACAGGGATTGATGGAAGAAACTTAAAAATTATAGCTAATCTGTATTGGAATCAATCAGCGGTACTCTGAATAGATGGAGAATATATAGATCAGGTCAAAATCTTAAGGGGAGTGAGACAGGGTGCATAATTTCACCACTGATATTCAATCTGTACTCGAAGCATATTTTTGAAGAGGCCCTAAAAGATATTGATGAAGGCATCTCAATAAATGGAGTCAAGCTTAATAACCTGCGGTATGCAGACGATACAATAGTGTTTTCCAATACCATAGAAGGGCTGCAAAACTTAATGAACAAAATAAGGGAAACAAGTAGAACATATGGACTGGATATAAACACCAGCAAAACCAAGCTAATGATCTTCAGCAAGCAAAACATAACTGGAGCAAATCTGTATGTGAACCAAATGAGAATTGAACGTGTCTCACAATACAATTACTTGGGAACTATAATCAATGAGTCGTGGAACAATACTCAAGAGATTAAATATCGCATCGGAAAGGCCAAAAGTGCATTCTTGACTATGAGCTCTGTGTTCAAAAGCCATGACCTCACCCTGAAAACAAAAATAAGGCTCCTTAAATGTTACGTGTACTCAGTGCTTCTGTATGGAGTAGAAACGTGGACATTGAAGGCGGAAACTCTATCAAAACTTCAGGCGTTTGAATTATGGTTATACAGAAGAATCCTGAAGATACCAAGGACAGACAAAGTCACCAATGAAGAAGTACTGCGGAGGATGAACACAACCACGGATTTGATCAACTTTTAAGTAACTTTTAAATTTTAAATATTTTAAGCAACATTCAATAATAAAATCATTTTTAAATGTTTTTACCAGGTGATTGGGAGAAATTAATATTTAACATTAAATAAACACGCAAGAAAGTCGAAATTTTAATGGAGATTTCTGTTTGTAAGATCTGTTCAGTTTAATCTATATTTCGACTAATAAGGTTTAAGTATAGCTTATATGTAATAACATAGTAACATTTTTGATTTCTCTCACAATATTCTTTTTTTTGCTTATACATATATGTATTTTGAGTTTAGAGTTTAAATTTTATATATACATAAGAGTTTCTTTGTTATTCAAGCAAAGATAAAGTGGTATGTATGATAGTTTTTTATGGTTTATTTAATAGGCAAAGTCGACAGAGCAACATAGATTTTGGCATAATAGCCAGAGCAGAGAATACGACAAAACATATTATCTATACATGCAAGTCCATTGTTTGGCATTGTATGACAATGACATAATTATCGGAACGGGCCTGTTAGAACCGGAACAGGTAACATATATCTCACTTAAAAGGATAATAGGCTTTATTAGAAAACTAGATCTAGATCTAGACTAAATATAGACGTGTGGTATATATAAAGGATATTATAAGTTAATATTGCCTTCCTTTTTCGACACTTTACTGTTTAAGCTTAACCTAATAACTTACTGATTATCTATTTTCGGATCCATAAATATACTGTTCCAAGCCAAGTCTTCTGGAGTTCTATGGTGCATCACTTTACTATTAAAGCCTCGATACATAAGAGGTTGGCCATTCATTGCCCATCTCCATTTTGAAGTTTTCCAATCGTAGATACCACCGATCCATCTGTCATGACGCTCTAAAACAAAATTTAATAATAAGTGTAATAAAAAATATAAATCCGCAATACCACATAACAACTCAGGTGAACAGCTGAAGTAAATCTTTAAATAAAACAACACTGCAATCTATAATAAAAACCAAACTTGGCATATAAAAAAGCAAATGAAAGTTGTTATTTCAAAAAAATATCAGCACTTCAAACAAACCACAACAACTTTATACTTTTTTTGTTTTTTAAATTATATCTTTATTGTATTTATATTATCGTAGCTTACGAGTACTACTGAAACATTTGCACTACTCAGTCAACGTAAACAACATAAAAGAAGCTATAGAAGAACGTGAACACTGAGTTAAGAATGTTTGGAATATCAAACACTTCTTCTTCTTCTTAAGGTGCCGTGCATTTCTGCGTAGGCGTCCACCGTAAATCGTCTTGTCAGGTGAGATGTTAAATATTCTGGATTAAATAATTCTGTTTTTAGCAGCATTGCGAAGCATTTCATAGCTGTGGATTCCTGTCCATTGTCGAATATTGCGCAGCCATGACATTTTTTTACGTCCGAGACCTCTCCTACCTCTATCTTCCCTTCGAGTATCAGTTGCTGAAAAGTGTATCGTTCTCCTCGTATAATGTGCCCCAAGTATGCAGTCTTTTACTTTTTACATAATTAAAAAGGTCCCTATCCTGTAAGCCCGCTATTCTGAGTACTTCCTCATTTCTGACCCTGTCCGTCCATGATATTCTGAGCATTCGACGCAGGCACCACATTTCAAACACTTCAAGTTTGTTAATGGAACTGGCCTTTAACGTCCATGCTTCCATTCTGTACAGGAGAACAGGCCACACGTAACACTTAAGCATCTTGTATCGGAGGTTGAAGTCCAATTTGCGATCAGTCAGAAACTTACGAAGCCTCAAAAAAGCATTTCTGGCTTGTTCAACTCTGCTCTTTATTTCATTCTCGGGGTCCCAACCCTCATTCAGCAAACATCCCAAGTATTTGAATTGCCTGACTTGTTCGATTTCTTCTCCAGAGACATATATCTTTGCGTTGGGGTAATCATTTCTACTTATAATCATTGTTTTGTCTCTTGATATTTATTTTCAAACCCCGAGCTTCACTTGCAAGAGTTAGATCATTTAAAAGGCATTGAAGATCTTCGATGTTATCTGCCACTATGGCTGTATCATCGGCATACCTGATGTTATTAATAAATATGCCGTTAACTTTATTACCCTTATTAGAGTCTTCCACTGCTTCTGCGAAGGCTTTTTCTACGTATAAATTGAACAGCATTGGGGACAGTATACAACCTTGCCTTACTCCTTTTTTAATGGAGAAATCTTCTGTTTCGTTGGAATTTTGAAGACGTACTGTTGCTGTCTGATTCCAATACAGATTGGCGATGATTCTTATATCCTTTGCATCCAATCCCAACTCTTGTAGGTATTTTATCATCAATTCATGTTTTACATTATCGAATGCTTTCTCGTAATCGATGAAACAGATAAAAACATCCTTTCTTTGATCTAAACAATTCTGTATCAATGTTTGCATACTAAAGATCGCTTCTCTTGTGCCAAGTCTATTTTTGAAACCAATCTGACTCCATCCACTGACCTCTTCACATTTCTTAAACAATCTAGTGTGAAGTATTCTCAGGAAAAGTTTTAAAAAGTGACTCATTAGGCTTATTAGTCGGTGGTCCTTGCAGAAGTTCGCACGTGGTGTTTTTGGTAGGGCGATAAATGTAGATCGAAGCCAATCTTTTGGAATCTGGCCCGTATCGAGGATGTCGTTAAAGAGCTTGACAATAATGTCTAGGTTTTCTTCATTAAGTAACTTGATTGTTTCTGCGTACATATCATCTGGTCCTGGGGTTTTGTTACTTTTTAATAGTTTGATAGCGTGTACAATTTCAGCTTTCAAAATACTTGGGCCATGCAAATGCTCTCCCAGTTGTGGTGGTTTTTGTGTTCTGTCATCATTGAACAAATTGGCTGTGTACATTTTCCAAGTATTAAGTATATCGCTAGGGTCCGTTATTTATTCATTTTGGTCATTATGTATACCAGTGACTTGTTTTTTCTTGAAGACACCAGCAATTTCCTTAATTTTCTTGTGAAGATTGAAGCTGTCGCCGAGTTTATATAGGCTTTCAGCCTCGGCGCAAAGTGTAGTCGAAGTAGTAGTAGTAGTAGTAGTAGTAGTAATCAAACACTACAGAACTATAAATGCACGTTTTATATGAATCTTAAAAAAGCACTAAACAACAAAACTATATATGGTCGAGAGCTTGTACTTCGCACCAAGATAAAATTTGAACCACCACGATAGAAAAGAAACATACCACAATGCATTAGGTCGCAAAAAGATATGAACGTACAAGGGAATATTGCAATTACAGTCCACGCTATGTCAAGTACAACCGGGGAAGTCACAGAAAAATATCCAAGAAAAGAAAGATCAACTAATGTAAAATGCATACTATGCGAAGGCATACAATCATTCAGCCAACTACAAGCGCTGTTCAAAATCCAAAGAATTACAGCTGCAAAAATATCGGGCATTTCGTCCAAAGCAGGTTAATTTCTTCTTTACGTGACATATCAGAGTTATTCGACAATGGAAATCACCATTCTCGATTTTCTACCATATGGAATAATTGTCCTGCATTTGATATCTGAGTCTATTCACGAATGATTGTTAACTCTACCAATATTAAATCTAAACAATATATACAATCCAGCATCACATACGCTCAGGTAACATAAAAAACAACTGGAACTCACTAGGAAAAGTGCGCAGCAACTCCAAAACCAGACAGCACATGGAACCAAAGGAGATATGGTCGAACTAAAACAAATTATGAAAGGACAAATTGAACAAATAAGTACGATATTTAACTGTTTGATTACAATCAACTAGAAAACTAAGTTCCTGTAGCTGGCTGTATACCATATATCACAAGAAATTTTATTTCAAATCCTTTATAAAAGGTATATAATAAAATGCCCAAACGGGCTATCACAATTACATTACAGAACGTTTTCATGTTAATTCCATCATCAGTGTAAACGGGGTATACATGCTATGAGCCACCAAAATACATGGGTCAAACCCGTTAAATGTTATAAATTTATACTTGTTTTACATAATATATCATTACAAATTAAGAAATTGTTTATCAAACACGTCCTCGAAGACATTTCGTCTCAGGACCATATAACCTATGCAGGGTTATAAGTCGCCATGTTATCAATTCCAACGGTAACTTAAACATCCTAATTTGTAATGACATATAATGTAAAACAACTATAAATTTATAACATTTAACGGGTTTTGACCCATGTATTTTGATGACTCATAGCATGTATACCCAGTTTACACTGATGATGGAATTAACATCCCAAGAACGTTCTGTAATGTAATTGTGATAGCCCGTTTGGGCATTTTATTATATACCTTTTATAAAGGATTTAAAATAAAATTTTTTGTTTGATTACAGTGATCGCTACACTGTCCAAATGACCAAGTTTCCCAAAGTGGTACTCTGGAATACCAACAGGCTAACCCAATATTACCAAGGAATTAAAGCCTTTAAAATCAACAATAACATTGACATAATGCTGATATATGAAACCCACCTTATCAGCTGCAGTTATTTCAAATATCCTAATACTGTAATATACAGCACTAATCATCCAGATGGTACTGGGATCTGCAGTCATAATCAAGAAATCACTTAAGCACCACTACATGGTATTTATTATGTTAAAAAGATGTTTTGTTTTATATTTTTATAGTTGTAAGTTGTATATAGGAAAGGGCTATAGTTAAAAATTGTGTTCAAAATTTTTCTTTAGGATAGGGGGGTGTAACGATAATATATTTTATCGTCTAGAGTACGCCTATGTGTTAAACAAAACATATTTTTGTTCCGTCTCGAATAGTATAAAAGTCGAAACTGAAAGACAGCTAACCATTCTCGACGCGTTGAGTTGAGAATATCTGACCTAGGGGACAGGTGAGTTGAACGTGTCCCAAATCCTTCCGAACCCAGTCGATCTGGCGCGTTGAGCGAGATTGATAATCCTTCTCTGGCTGCGTCAATCTGGTGCGTTGAACGATATTGGCGTATTCTTTCTATCTGGTGCGTTGAATTAGATAGACATCCTTATCCCTGTCCAAGTACTCGTTTTGCGTTGAGGTACGAGTACGACCTCAATTCTTCGATCGCTGTATCTTAGTTTACCATATCGAATATCGTCACACCCATCTACCGAAATAAATAAACAGTACGTCTTTGTATTCAAATATTGTATTCAGTATACAGTTAACGATAATTACTTTTTCACTTGTATATGTTAATTCGAAATAAATGCCTATACGAAAGAATCTTGTTCCTCTGGCTGAATTATACTATCCGTCCTCACAACCGGGGTTTACCAGCAAATACGCCAATCACTGGAATACAGAAAATATTGCTTCGGAATCTTCTTCAGAATCTCCGGAGACATCTCGAAAAAGTCAAACAATTAGTATACCAATTATGGCTTAAGTTTTTTAAGACAGTGTTTTCGGACCAATGCTGTAACGGATATTCACTGCGGACTTACCTACATTACCAAAAGCCACAACAGCAACTTATGCAGATGACACAGCAGTAATATCTTTGCAGGAAGACCTAGCCATAGCATCATGTACAGGCATTACAGAAAGAAAACATAAAATACTTGGGAAGGTATTTGGATCGCAGGCTCACATGGATAAATCACATCTTTACCAAGCGAAAACAGCTGGTCCTTAAACTTAGCAAGCTATATTCGTTAATAGGCCGAAAATCAAATCTCTCAATAGACCAGAATTTTAACATCTAAATTTATTCTAAAACCCATTTGAAGCTATTGAGTTTAGCTATGCTAAGCATCAAAATTCTTAAAATATTACAAACGAAAGTCTTCCGATTGAGAATGAATGCTCCTTGGTATGTTCCAAACAAGAGGGATCG